GTGGCTTTCGGTCTCCCATCAGGATTTTGGAAGCCATTGAATATAATCTAGATTTAATAGTGGTCGCTCGTTACGGAAGTCCTCCCGATGATGATGCTTTTTCATTAACAACAAGAAAAACGAGAGAGCTTTAAGATGATATTAATAACATCGTATGCCCACAAATTGATGAGAGCCTAACAATATCGTTGAACAAGAAAGGAAAAAAAGTGCCTGAGACGCATAGCTACGTAGGCTACTTTTACAATGATTGTCAGTAAGGTTACGTTCCAAAAGTGACGTGTTATCTGTCATCTGAAATGTTCATTCTATGAGAAGTCCTTTCTTTTGTCTCGTGCCCCTGCTGTAGCTTAGGGAGTTGTAACTGACTGACCATCTTCATCTCAGAGTGAAGTTAATTTTTAAGGGGGGGAGGGGGGTGGTTGGAGGGGCTACACCCCCAAAGTCCCGATTCGGCTAAAAATTATGGAATTTGAGTTGAAGGCATTATTAGCTTCCCTAACCTCTCCTACAGCTATTTCATCGCCTTAGAACCCCCCCAAGTCCGTATCTTTTTTCCCCTACCGGGCATGTTTGTCACCATCATTTACTCATAAAGTCAATATTTTATTTTTCTTTATCGGCCGTTTTCTCAAAACGCGACTTTTCTCTATATCTTTTTTGAATAACTCCACCATTTTTCATCCAATCTTCATGAAATTTTCACAGATTGAAGAAAAGATGTAATACTTAACATATGTTAGTTGAAATTTTTATATATGGAATAGATTTTTGTTGGTGGGGTCTGGAGTGTGAATTTTCAAGGATTTTTTGAAAATTTGAATGCTACCTCGGGAAAAAATTCATTAAAAATTTTCTAATTCGTTTAGGAAAAAAAAGAACAAATTTTTCGATCTAATGTTTGTTAACACGCATGCAAAAAGGCAATGAATTTCCATGAGCAATAAGTGCGGTATTCAATACGTAAGACATGTCAGCAAAATCTAATATGGCGCCGTATCCATGGAAATGAAACTTTTTTTTTCTCTAATTTGATCGCGGATTTTAAGACTCCTCACTATGCTTGTTATATGGGTGAAATTTGGTAAAATTCGGTACAGCAATAAGCGATATAGCCTTCAGGTGTACCCCCCCCCCCCTTTTTAAGGATATAACCATGTTTATCTACACTGACAGCAGAGTTGTCTTTTTCCTGACGGGCAGCCACGTGCCGTTTTCGGCGAAACGTTTATTTGTACTGACTTGAATGGCTCGTTTTCGTTTGGAATTCAGTTTGAACCTTGTCCTGACGGCGGCCCGAAGAGCCTACTTACTATTTTCAAATATAGAATCCCCAAGGATACTGTCACGTGGCAAACTTCGAACTGTTTCATTCCTATCTCATTTGGTCCTAAAAATTAGGTGGTATAGAAGACATGAGAATAAAATCCAACTCTTGTAGGGACTTCTAAGTTCTAGTTTTACAGGAAAACACCATGTCCTCTGAGCTACTGTGGGACGTGACATCGAAATTTCCTATATAAGAGTACAGCAAAAATTCTAACTCACAATAAAAAAAAAGAAACAATACCGACAATACACAAGCATGTAGACATTGCCGCAATGTCCAAGAGCCCCAAAGATATAACTCAAAGGTCCAGGTGTCAATCACGTCTTTGATCTGAGAGCAATGATGATTTTAGAAATAATGGTGATAATCAATGATGATGTGAGATTGCGTGTTTTAGTAATGTTAACGTTAGTCCTATCTTCCTCTGCTCCAATGAGTCTCGAGGGACGTGGGCACCCTCTATCCCGTTCCCTGCTGGAACCATCTTTACTGTCTCCGCGAAGTTCCGTACCACATACAAATCTATCTTACCTCAAAACTGTTTCTTCTCTAGGAGGACAACAGAAAACAGTGTAGACAGGCAGAGAACAAAATGGAGACGGATGAAGACCTTAGTACACAGAAACTGTCCTCTGTAATCATGGCCCTTGATCCGATCAGCACGTCATATGAAAGACCAGAAGCAATCATCCGGATCTTTTTGTGCGTGCTTGTTTTTTACGTGCCCGTCATCATCGTCACCAACGTTCTAGTTATCGTCACCGTATATCTCGTGCGGAAACTGCACACCCCGGACAATTACGTCATCGCTGGACTGGCTTCAGCAGATTGTCTAGTGGGAATTTGGAGCCTTCCCTTATATATACTGAGCGATATCCCACAAACGATGCCCCTTATAAGATCAAAGAGGTGGACCTGCGCCATGAGGTATATCGCTTTTACTGTAAGCCAAGATTCCTCACTCTCCATTCTCACCTTAATGTGTGTTGACCGTTTCACTTCCATCAACTGGCCCTTCTGGTACCAGATGCATGTGACTAATAAAGCTATGCTTGTGGCTATATCTGTCATCTACACTGCACACACGACGAAAGCCTTAGTCGTTTACGGTCTTCTGATGCGATTCGACGAAACTATCGAACCATTACACAACCGATGTACTGTTCTTAACAACGCCCCGCATTTTTACATTCTACAATTCTGTACAGCTGAGCTAGGACTCCAGCTCTCTGTGTCTTTCTGCCTGTGTGCGCAAGTTTCTCTGACGGCATTGAGGGAAGTCAGAAAGTTGAAACGAGAGTTTCACGTTTTGGGAATAAGCGGAACGTTCAGATCTAAAAGCTATCGGAGCCGAATGACAAATGTGAAGATAACGGTGTCTTTAATGTTCATCTTTATTATTCTCTGGTTGCCGACTGCATTCGGGGGTGTAATGAGCAAGCTAGTCAGTCGGCGAGTTGCCAACATATACAGGATCTCAACACGCCTACCCAGATTGGCCAACTCTTTTTTAAATGCTGTGGTCTACGCCTTTTCTAAGGATACATACAGAAAAGCCTACTGGTACCTTCTGACCACGCCACCTTACCGATGGGCCAGGTTAGAGGAAATGATGAGAAGCAGTGAAGCATTTTCAAGCAATATGTTAGCAAGCAAGCTCCGTAAAACCACCATGGATCTGGCATCTACGTCACAAAGAATAGTCGTTGGTACAGAAGATTAATTATATGTCACAGAATGACATGCTGGCAAATAGACAAAAGTAAACTTCAGCTTTTTATTTTTTGTTGAAAATTTTGGACAAGTGAGGTCAAACCTGATTCGTCATGAGGTGATGCCTGAAAAACAATTACTAATTCATCCTACATTAAGAATGGAAGTCTGTGGGAGGAGGGGTGAAAAACACATTATAATCGATAACTGTTATTTTTTTTTTACATGAATTTCTGCCTTTGATCCCGTAACGAAAAAAGCAGCTTGTGGCTGGTTGTGACAGCACTTCATTTTGTAGTCTTCGACACAAACTAGAATGTCTGTTTCTCTTTGTTTATTTTGTTGTTCAAAAGTTCGAATAAAAGCTTAAAACCTTTCTTAAAGACATGGTTAAACGCAACGATAAAGAGTATCATATTTGTCGTATGAAAGAACTGTCCGTTTTATCGAACTGTGTTGTCTGATTACATGTTCCAATCTATCGTCCAGTTTTCTATCGATTGAGGAGATTCCTCGTCATAAAGCCACCATCTCTCTTGGCGACGACAGCGATTTGCCTGCTCTCTATGTGAAGGTTTCGAGCTCTGGACCTAATAAATGAAAGGCGAACAACACTACCTCTAGCTCACAGAAGCCCCCCCCCCTTTCCCCAGTACATTTTGATATAGCAGAACGGTGTCTTTAGAAAAGAATGGCCATACTGTGGGCCTATAGTGTTGTATGTAGAACTGGAAGCTTTGACTTGACTGCAGACGTGCAACTCACCGAGTGACCTCAATGCACAGCTTCACAATTGACGATCAACTAAATTAATAATAAAACTGCTAAAATATAAATAATAACGCAACAAATCAGGTTCATCGTGAGCAACTTTGCTTATTTTGAGAAGCTGGTTCCGAATTATATGGAATCAGATTTTACGTACGGTAATTATTTTTTAAAAATTGAGTCCTGAGTTTAATTCTGCCCGGCGGCAAATTTCAAAGTGAATCTACGTCACAGCGCGTCTCCCTCAAATCTGAACGTGATCGCATTCAAAATATCAAGCAGCGTTTGATTTCTCGACCAAGTCTCCAAACCATCGTTCAACCAATCGTCCAAATTTGTGTACAATTTTGTGATTATACCTAACGATTTATCGTATGATCGCTAGATCGTCCAGTTTTTGTACAATTTATAGTTACGTGTAACAAGGCCTTTATACTGAATCAAGTAAATCTATAGAAATATGCACACACACTCACACACACACTCACACACACACACACACACACACACACACACACACACACACACACACACACAAACACAAACACAAACACAAACACATACACACAATACACAAACGCACAAAAATATACAGAGACCCAGAAACAGACAAACAAAAGCACACACACACACACACACACACACACACACACACACACACACACACACACGCCGGGTGGAGGCTGAAGACTACTCTTATCGATTTTAGACCACCAAGGGATCTTTAACTTGCGACATTTGCACACGAGACCTCCGAGATTTTTCACCTTTTTCTGAGAAGGCTAGGTGTAGATCTCTCCTACCAGAAAATCAGGGGTGTGGCTGAAAGACAACAGTAAGAAGGAGTCAAGAAATAGCTGTGTAGAAAGGCTGCAGAAAGAGTCAGGAGCCCAGAGGAGGGGGCAAAGAAGGTGAGGAGGTGGCAGCAGAAAAAGGAGACGAAAGCAGACGACATACAATGTAACATTGCTAGAGAGCAGGAAAGGAGATGAAAGGAGACACTTTAAGAGAAGAAAAAAAATTTCCATCTCTACCGGGATTCGAATCCGGGACCTTTGAATGAGAGGCTAACACCTTAACCTCTAGGCCACGGGAGCCCCCATGTCGTCTTTCTGTTTGCATGTCGTCTGGTGTTTGTGGTGCACAGGAGCGCCTGACAGGCAGTGTCAGTGCCCGTCTCCTAAATTACCTTTAGTTTTAGTAAGAATTTTACGGCACTTGCAACACAATAAGGTCATATAAGTGCCGAAGAATAGATGTGTTACGAGAGAGTAACATACACAAAAAGGAGGGGAGATAAGGATGACAGATGTTTGATCTGAAAGAAGGAGCAAACCACACTTTTAATCATAATCATATTATTCAATTTAGGCGCCAACACGTTCATTAAAAACCATCCCTCACGCACATTGATGGCAAAACACGCCTCATGGAAGTTTCGGAATATTGATACCATCCAGTCGCGACCACAGTGCTTTCTTGTCGTATGTCAATTTTTTTTAAACAGTGAAAATGTGACTTCTTCTTAAGCTCACTCTATGAACTGTTTTCATTGTTATTAAAAATGGAGATACATTTTAATACAACAAGAAAGCGCTGAGGTGGCGCTGTCTCACCGACATTCCAAATGAAACCCTAACCAACCACAGCTTTATTTCAATTGACTTCAAAACTTTCAGGCCTGGGTTGTTGTTTCACATTAAACATTATTTTGTTTCAGCGGGAACCCAGGAGACCTGGAAATATATGTGTCACGACGTGGTGGAATCAGGCGCTCGTCAAATTTTCGGCTTATGGAGATTTTAGTATCTTCTTAAAGCCTGTTCATTTGTCTTCCTTTTGGTATAAAATATATCTTGAATAGAGGTTGAGATATTTGCGATTGAAGGAATTAGGGTCGCCTGGTTTCAGAAATAAAATTAGCGAGATAATGGCTCCCAAAGTTTGGTTACTTCCATTGCTTAAGAAGAGTAATTGGAAACTGCCAATTCATATTTTTTGTGCCTTTAATCAACGTTTTTCCATAAAATCCGGACACAAAAGTGTTCTTGAAAGGGCACACAATGTGTTGAGCTAAAAAAAATATTTTAAAAAAAACATTTCCATACTAGCCGAAAAATGCCGATTTCTTGGATTTCATTAGTTTGACGAGCGCCTGATTTCACCACGCTGCCTCACACATCCAAACTCCCTGCTCATTCCAAAACACGAACGCCGTCGATTGTCTTTAGAACAAGGTCATACTATTATTTTACATCGCAAAAATTGCGAATACTTTAGGTTCTTATTATAATTATAGACACAATTTAGGTAACTTATGGCAAGAGCTGGGTTGACAATGGCAATCATTATCCAAACTATTAAAAGTTACCGAACTTTGCGACCATTTTCTAGCTAAATGTACACTGAAACAAAGTGACCCCAACTCCAAGTGACCATAGCCACCAACTGACATCAGAATTTCAATTATCGGCCCGAAGTAAGTGATATATTATTTCCAAAAAACAAGTACAGACAGATATAGTAATTCATTCGTACCAACTGCAGTGAGGTTACTGCACACACAGTGCTACTACAAATGAAACAGAGAGAGAGAAAGAAAGAGAGAGAGAGAGAGAGAGAGAGAGAGAGAGAGAGAGAGAGAGAGAGAGAGAGAGAGAGAGAGAGATTTATGGAATGGGTTGTTTCAGCTCGTAAAACATGTATTTTTTAATGTCCTGTCTTGTTGTGTGTATGTGTGAGTGTACCTTATCTTTGTAACATTCCACTGCCATTGTAAACGACCAAGACAAATTTCTCCCTGTCCAATGAATAAAGTGTCACGAAGCGGTGGAATCAGGGGGCTTGTCAATTTTAGGGCATGTGCAGTTATTGGCACGATCTAAAACTGTAATTTGTCTTGTTTTCCAAGAAAAAAAAATAAATAGCATTTGTATAGCGCATATCCCCACTCGAAAGCAAGCTCTATGCGCTTTACATTATATTATTACCCCAGCAGACCACATAACACTCAGAAACATTAACAGCTTCCCGAGAAGCATGCAGTGAAACAGCTGGTTAAGCGCTCAACCGCTAACGAACTGACAAGATCTTTCACCGTCTATAAAAATTACCCATCTATCTTGAATAGAAGTATTAGAATCTGATATATTTGCAACTGAGGGAGGTGGGGTTAAAAAGTTACCGGAACAACATAGTAGTATACCTACCCAAGACGCCATACACTTAACAGGACCAAAACCTGCACCTCCCTTCGACTTCGCAAGGATTCCAAATGAAGGAAAAGGTTAAAGTAAATGGTAATCCAGGCTGTCTACAAACCACACTGTGGTGGATAGCTCAGAGAAGGACGTCATATCCATGAACACATTCCGATATTCTGCACTCGAGATTCAGACCGGTGTTGGAGCTCAGGTTTAAAGTTTAACCCTGCCCGTATGTCGTATTTTACTATGGTATCCATACGACGTGGGGAACTCTGTGCCACCATTTTCAAAGAGGAAGTTTACTCGTTAATCCGATCCGTACGCTTTGCGTGGCAGTCTGTCAAAATGATTTTTTAAAAGAAATACTGAAAGTTTCAAAGAAATCTTCGTACTAGAAGTATTCTGAAATGTGAAGAATACAACCCTGGGGGGTACAAAATGACCCCAAGGCGTACGGATCGGATTGAATGGTACGAACTGCAGGAAGAATGATTGCAAGCCGGAACGGGAAATATCACCGAAGAAACCAGGTCAGATGATCCAAAATATTATCATTAGAGTTAGAGATATAGGCCTACATTTTGAATGAAACTGAATGAAAGAGAAAACGTAAACTTTGAAAAGACTAGATTTAATGCACAACCCCCCCCCCCTAAAAAAACACCTATAAAAAGTGCCATCGGCCCTCTGACGCTTAGACAGTACTACTCGACTGCTTCAAAAACATAAACATTACAGAACCAAGCACAAACCGGAAAAAACAAATGAAGTGATAATAGTTCGATGTTTATTTTCGTTTAAAAGTATAATAGGACTTCTTGAAAGAAACATAAAATAATAAATTAGAAAAGATGGTCCTCGATTAAAAGTACCTGAAGATACAACACTATAACTTTAACTGAAATGACGAGGTACTCGATAAAAATCCTCTGCACATAGGAATCGAACTCATTCGACGACAAGGGCGCCTAACTGCAATAAGGGGCTCTCGTGGCCTAGAGGTGAAGGTGTTGGCCTCTCATTCAAAGGTCCCGGGTTCGATTCCGGGTAGCGACCAAAATATGTTCTTCTCTAAAAGTGTCTCCTTTCACATCCTTTCCTGATCTCTAACAATGTTCTGTTGTCTGCTTTCATTTCCACTTTCTGCCCCCACCCCCTCACCTCCTTTTCCCCCTCCTCTGGGCTCCTGACTCTTTCTGCAGCCTTTCTACTGCTACTCCTTGGCTCCTCCTAACTGCTGTCTTTCTGCCACACCCCTGATCTTCTGGTAGGAAAGATCTACACCTAGCCTTCTCGGACAAGGGCGAAAAAATCTCGGAGGGCCCGTGTGCAAGTTGTGCACGTTAAAGATCCCTTGGTGGTCTAAAATCGATAAGAGTAGGCTTCGGCCGCCACCCGGGCAAAATTCAAAATTTCCTACCAACGAAAAAGTATTAGGTGTGTCCCGCGCGCTCATATGACCTTATGCAGTTGCGAGCGCCGTAAAACCCTATACTAAACAAACAAACATAACTGCAATACCACGGACCCAGGTTTATATGTCGTTTGCTATAAAATCATTTTCCCTTGAACAGGTCTGCATTTTTAGGGGCTTCACGTGGCTGGAAAACTGATTGTAACTGATTTAGAATTGATTTATTAATTGAATCTAGCTCTGCAGAAAGAGTTGTTGGCATGGCAACGTAATACATGTACCCTGTGAAACGTCAAGCGACCACACAGTCGTCTGCGCCCTATAGATCTAGTGCTCATGCAGGCGTTCGTCTGTGCTGATCTGGACATCAGAATCTGGAGGTATCACATGTCTTTGGATCAGAGGTGTCGTACAATAATCCACTATGTCTCATCATTGTCGTTCGTTGCCGGCATTCGTTCTTTCAAACTTAAGCCGTGGGTGGTTGGATGGTGCTCTGGTGGGGTCTGCTCCTCCTTTCCTATCAAACGTCTGTTGTCTTTATCTCTCACTCTCATCCTTCTTTTTTCGTGTTCGTTATTCCCTTGTAACACTTCTACTCTTCCGCACTTACATGACCTTATTGTGTTGCAAGTGCCGTAAAACTCTTCATCATCATCATCCAGCGCTAGATCTGCGACAGACATCGGCGATCCTGGTTCTCTATTCATTCCTTTGCTCGTATGCTCTCAAAAAGCTGCGTTTCCCTGATCTTTCCTTGTTAACCATTTGTTTAGGTTCCCTAAGTATGTTCTTCTGGGCCTTCCCCTGCCTCGCTTGCCTTCAATTTAAAACTCTTACGGAAAAAAAACCTAGGCCAGTCCATGCCATGATGCCATCGGTCTACAGTGTGTTTCTTGTCCACCCTTCGCCCTATTGCCTCTCTCTTGCCTTCGAGCAGTTTCTTTATCGTTAATCGGTTGTGCATTATTTATATGAGCAAACTATTTGAATGTTTCTACTTTTCGTTTCGTTGCGTTACTAAGCAGGGTTTGTCATGAGTGGAGTATTTGAGACATATCATTTTTTTAAAAGTTCCTGTTTGTTTTGCTTTTCCTCTAGTTCTGGATAATTCTGATGATTTAATTTGTTTTCTTCTTCCTGTGTTGCGGTATACGTGTCGTTGCCATGCAGGAAAATGGGGAAGATGTATAACGCCACAGGTTTGTTTTTTTCCTACAAAAGACACTTGCCTGGATGTAAAAAGTTCGTGCATATGGCTGAATCTTATATTTTAATTTTTTTATTTTTTTTTTGCCATTTTTTATTGTCTATTTTGCCATAGATATTTGAATGCATTAACTTCCCTTTTATATTTGTATATGTTGTTTTGTTAATTGATTTTGATGTGACATTAAATAAATGATTGAGCTTCTCTGTGAATATGTACATGTGCTTGGCTTATGTGTCACACAGGCGCCCAAGTGTGATTGTGACTTACCGTATGGACATACGTTTTTATGTATAGTTGTTTTTTTGTTTTTTTTTAGCAGAGGTTTTATGGCGCTCGCAACTGCATAAGGTCATATGAGCGCTAGAAGTTTAGAGGTGTTACAATAGAGTAACAAACATAAAAAAGAAGAAGGAGCGATAAGAACGATAGATGTTTGATAGAAAAGAAGACGCAAACCGGAAATACCGGGTCACAAGAGTGTGACAAACATACACAAAAAGTAGAGGAAAATGACGATAGTAAGGATTAGGAAAGAGAAAGCAGCAGTTCCCTGATGTAGTTCAGGCACATTTATGAACATAGCATTTTTGGATCAGCCCATTTACAATTCTACTGTGCATAAGAGCGAGAAATGTCCCCCCTTTGGGAATGGCCTTAAAGACACTTCAGTCAATAACACTGCCTCTGGGGGGGGGGAGGCATTGTGTGTACTCGGGCGGGGAACAATGGCAGAAACAGAGTTTATGGGAAACAGCTGTCTGGTTTTTGCATACTGGAACCACTCTCCATAGGTTCAAATATTATGTTCACCTAAATAATTACGTCGATCTGACCCGAACGGTCTCACCAGTAAGGGTCTCATCGCCCCTCAGCTTCCTCGATAGCTCCTCCCATCGATTAGGGGGTGTGGTCAAAAGGTACCAATAGGCCTTTCTGTAGATGTCTCTGGAAAAAGCGTAAACCAGAGGGTTCAAAAACGAGTTGGCCAAGCGTGGAATGCGAGTTAGAAGCCTGTATGAAATAGCTGCTTTACTTCCTAAAAGTTTTTCTATTTCTGTTGCGAGTATTGTTGGGGCCCATAGAACGATAAACAGATACATTAAAGACAGCGTTATCTTCACGCTAGCTAATCTGTTTTGAAGGCTTTCAGACATTTCTATTCCAAGATTTTCGAAATCTTGTTGCATCTTTCTGGCTTGATTTAGAGCCGTCATGGACACTTGCGCACATAGGCAGAGAGCAAAAAGCAGCTGTACCCCGATCTCTATTGCCAATATGAGCATGTATAAGTGGGGAGCATTGCTATTAAAAGTGCACCTTTTGGTCAGTGGTTGGATCGTTACGTCGAATCGCATCAGTTGAACATAAACGACATACGCCCTCGTCAAGTGTATAGCGAAGATCACGGACATAACGAGCATCATGCGCGTATTGGTCACATGCCTCTGGTACCAAAAGGGCCAGTTGATGGCCATGAAACGGTCAACGCACATCAAGATGAGAAGGGAAAGGGAGGAGCACTGACTTATGCTGTTAGAAATATACCTCAGGGAACAGGTCCACCTCTGAGATCGTATCATAGGCAAAGTTGCAGGAATTTCCGCGAGTATGTATAAAGGCAAGCTCCAAACTCCCACTAGTAAATCTGCGATAGCCAAGCCCGCTAGGACGAAATTGTCGGGAGTGTGCAGTTTTTTCACTAGATATGTCGTTGCAATGACGAGGAGGTTGCCGATGGTGATGACGGGAATATAAAGCACTGATATCCACATAACGGAAAAAACAACCACCTTTGGCCTGGGATCTTCAGCGAAGGTCGCGAGGGCGGTAGTATTGGGACCAGGGAACATTCTGGGGATAATCCTCTTGAAAAGTTTGCCTTTTAGCTTTGGGTCTGTTTCTTCTCGGCCTTTTCGTTCGCCGGCTCTGGGTACGAGGAAAGAAAGAAAGTAAAAAAAAAGGTTGATTTAAAAAGAATATGATTAATTCTGTTTTGTTTAGTTTGTTTTTCTGTTGTAATTTTTTTATGGGGGGGGAGGGGGTTGGTGGTTAAAAGTAATGGCTGTACGTACATATTATTATGTTTTTGTCCATTTTACATTTGATGAAGGCAATTTTGAGTTTAATGAGACTGAAAGGGAGAGGGGACAATGGGGGTGGGAGAGGAGGTTGTTTGTGTATATAAATCTAGTCTTTAGAGTCTCTACGCTTTTTCTCTCATGTGAGTAATACAAGTTGGTCATGTTATATAAACAATATGTTGGTGCTTGCTTCACAAAGTGCTCCAAGCACTCTCGTGTAAAAATAAGAAAACTTGCACTTTTTTTCCAGACGACTTCAGCGGTTTTTCATATTTTAAGAAATGTTTTTGTTTTGTTCTTTAAGGAGTTTAGGTTTAATAAAGATGCCAACCATGGCAGAGAGTGAACGTTCTGCTCAAATGACCTTACACAGTTGCCATGATATTGAACTTCATGGAAATTATTCTCTAATCACCCTTCTTTATTTTGTTGCGATTCCTTGTCTTGTCTCACTAAATTAACCAATCTCACACTTTTGAATCCAAAATGATTAGCTTGCAGTTGGCAGTTCACTCCTTAACTAAAGAGGGACATGATATCATGTTTGCTTGAATACGTAGCCATTCATAATTTTTGTAGCCGAGGAAACGAGCAAGTCGATCTGCAGACGAAGGAATCCATGTCCCTCCTATTGGGATGAACGGAGTACACCCTTTATCAGACAGGTGTAAAGTTGTTCCCGCATCCGATCCGGACATTGGGGATTGTCTTGTTAGTGAGACAACTTCTTGGGCCTTCTGCATATTGTGGTAGCGTGGCCAGTTTCGTTCGACGACGTCTTTACTTCCCAAACTCGAAGTCAGGTACCCATTACTGCTGGGTGGGCAGGAGGGGGCGAAAAAAATTCGTGTCCAAACCGAGGCTCGAACCCGGACTTACCGCTTCGGAGATGAGCGACAGGAGTAGGCTTTAAAAATAAGGCAAAAATCTATATCGCAAGTCTGTGGGAGGACACTGGAGCGAACGACTGAAAAACAAACTTCACAATTTAATGCCCAAACTGGGCTTACGAAAACCTTTGGGGTCATGGGAAGAGATACGTGTATGTATAACCTAGACTGCATATTGGACATAAATACCTACGACAGGGAGGTAAGAGGCCCTTTTGAATCGAACGAAATACTGATTTTATTATCAGGCACATACTTATAGAATGATCGGACTTTGGAGAGGCCTGAAGGAAACATTTTATATGTATTAACTTTAAGAATATGTTTTCCTTCGTTGACCCGTACAGAATTCTCAATTTTATCAAGATCGTTGGTTTTTATTTTTAAATGGAAATAGTTGTTAATTTTAGAATGTAAATTGCTAATCTTAAAGCTATACTTTTTATAATACATTCTACATGTTTCAACCGTTTCAACTCAGACAAGAAAACCAAGTCAACCTGCTAACTAACATGAAAATAACCAGCTCAACTGACCTTACGCTATTGTGAGTGCCGTGAAACTTTTATCAAGCTAAACCAACACGAAAGCAAAATCACAAGGACTCAAAAGACTGGATTTTATACACAGTCAATACGAGGTGCCTTTTTTTAAAAAATCGCAAGCACATTCAAATGTATTAATATTTTTACTCTTCTCGACTGCATAAGCGGCCTTTTGGTGCCAAACTAACAAAAAAATCATCAAAATACAATACAGTCCTACTTCCTCACAGACAGCAAGTGAACAAGCGAAACTTCTCATGGCCTGAAGCATCCTGCGAATTATCGTGGCCGTTTTGATTGTCGCTCTCTACAAATAGTGTTTATTTCGATCCATATTTTAAGTCTGTTTCAAAGAATTCAAAGAAGCATACAGTCAGTGCAAGCAGCCGATTAAGCGCTCAAACACTAACAAACTGACAAGATCTTTCGCTGTCTATAACCGGGTACCCATTCCCACCTGGGTGAAGTGAGGAAAATTCGTGCAAAGTGCCTTTCCCAAGGACACAACGTCGGGCCCTTGACGGGATTCGAACCCACGACCTTACGGTTGAGAGTCCGAGAGCCTAACCACTAGGCCACCGACGCCACATAGCTTACGTACAGGGTGATCCCAAAAATACAACAAACTGTACTACTTGTTTTGAGGATATCTTCCTCCATTCTGAAGTTTTTCGTATCAGATTTGAACACAATATTTGGCGTTCGATCTCCCATCGTGATTTTGGAAGTCATTGAGTTACTAGATTTAATCATGGTCACTCGTTACGAAAGTCCTCCCCACAAGAAAGAGGAGACTTACCCCTATCCCTACCCCAAACCCTAACCCTCAACAGACACAATAAAGAAGAGACCTAACCCTACCCCCATCCCAACCCAACCCCTAACCTTCAACAAACACAAGAAGAGACCTACCCCTTCCCCTACCCCAGACCCTACCTGTACCCCTACCAAAGGGTCCAATCCTCTCTTTGAGCCAATTAAAAAAGTGTCCTCAAAATTTGGTGACGCCCTCTTCGCAAATGTGCACCCTTTGCGAACAGAGTAACCCTACTTTTGTTTGAAAAATCAAAGTGAAATTAACAAGAGTTTGAATAAATAAGAATTCAAATTTCGGAAGAACGCTTTTTTAAAATGGCTACGCTGACAAAAAAAACCTCTTCGGAGGAAGAGGCGACTGTTTTCTTCGTTTAATTTGACTTTAGAATGAGAGGTGAGAGGTCATTAAAAAATTTAAAAAACAACTAAAACTCCGCACTGAACGAACCCGAACAGCTGATGAACAGCAGTCGATCTTCGAAACGAAAGAGAGCTTCAAAACAGACTGCAGCGCCATCTGAAGCAAAGAGTGTACTTCTGGCGGACACATTCTTGGCTGATTGGACCATCTTGTTATATACTATCTTTGCCCTACCCTATCCCAACCCCTAACCCTAGTTCGACCCCTAACCCAGACCCTACCCACACCCCTTCCCCAATCCCCCACCCCTATGGAAGTCCTTCAACAACATTTTAAAAAATAATTTACCTTATGTGAAGAAGACGTTTCACATGTCCAACATGTACGTCCTATTCCGCCCATATTATGCCATATTTATGTCAAGAGGAAATCTATAGATCTAAGACTTGCCTAGATCTAATAACCGGAGCATTCACTAGTAGTGTGTAATGGTGCTTGATAAAGGGATTGCACTTATTAGCTTTGCCCACTACGCTGAGATCGACCGATCGGGCCGATCGCCCGACTCCATCGCCTCAAAAGCAAAAGTGTTTGTTTTCAGTTTCAGGCGATCGAGTCGGGCGATCGGCCCCGATCCAGCCGTAGTGGGCACCCCGTATTAGGTGGAAATAAAACATTGCATTATGCGATAAAAAAAAAAATTCGAGGCGCAACTTATCCTCAAATACCTCCTTATCGGATAAATCAATATTCCCCATATTTTGCAGTGCAGTTTTTATCAATTCGTCTTAAGGATCATACCTAGAGCCAGAAATGGTCTGACTGCACTGAAAAGTATGGCGTGTAACAGAATGCCACAGAGAATTTTAGTTATCTTGTGCTGTCTGTGATATAGACTTAAGCCTCGGTCTCCTCACCTTGTCAATGTCGCAGCTGAATAGCCTATTAAAACTGAGGACTCTTAAAGCTGACTAGTGCTAGACGCCACACACCAAGCTAGAGATAAATTAAGGTGGGCTGCTTTAAACCTGTATGCCAGTGCCAACGAGCGGCTAGCACTCAGTGGAAACACAGTCATACCAATGAACGTGTTGATATCCCAGCCGGCCAGGCTTAGATTGGCGGCACCATGCAATTCGATCCACCAACAGTCAGTTATGGCAGCAGTGACAGCATGGTTCAGCGACCACAGAGAGGATGAAGGCACCACTTCACACACAATGGATAGGGTAAGGGAAGCTGGTGTTTCTAGAGGGTCGGGGAGAGACAGCAACCTGCGTGGAAAAGCCAGAAAAATATCCGACCAGTTGATAACTGGCACGATCAGTAGGCAGACCCTTTCATGGATCCTGGAGAGGAGGGAGGAGCAGCTATGGCATTTTGCCGCCTGCAATGATGCCTATTCTCCAACCAAGTAAAGTAAATACAGCCATAGCAATTATATTAAACCTTCCCACATGATTCAAGGGGAGCAGAACAAACGACTTCTGAGATTAGATATGAGAACATCTTATTGACCTCAACAAAGAGAAATTAGCTGCGGCATGGTAAATACATAGATACTTACGTAAACACAAATACTCACAGAGACGCACGTAAATGCGCCACACACACGGACACATACACACACACACACAAAACACACACATGCATAGAAAACACACACACACACACACACACATGCACACACACACACACACACACATACACACACTCACATACACACATACACATCTATACATACATAATAATACAATCTCACACACACGAATAGTCACTAGTTGGGAATTCACAAATAATATTATATTATACAATGTCTGAATAGCTCGTATTGATTTAACTGATGGTTCTTGCACTTTAAAGTTAAAATATTCACTTCTAACAGATGTCTGGTATTCTTAAAGGAAATGATGTTTAGAGTCAGCAATTTTCTAAGGTTTTTACTTTGATTTGCTGTTTTTAAGATACTAATATGTGCACAGCTCAGTGAAGAAAGAGTGGGGTGAATTAGCAACAACTTTTGCTGCTTTTACAATATGAATACAGACTCCAACATAAGTTTAGGACCACCTTGACGGAAAGTCCTGATCTTTTAAAACATCCGAAAAAAGACAGAAAGGAAAGTTTCAAAACTGTTTTGCCCTGAAAGTGTTCATGGTTTACCAATGCGTACTGAAATGCTTCCTAAAGAGCCAAAACCACCACGTGCAGCATGGACATCCTCCGGGCATTTTAGCCAATTTTACTGGGTTTTTTATCGACTTGTGTGTAGCACCACAGACATTCCTCAGTTAAAATTTCTGGAACACGTCATAAAGGGTCATACGGTCTCGAACTGGGCTCTCTTTGGTGACAATATAAACCGCTGTTTGCGCAAGATCCAGCATCGCATCCGTATGAAACAGAGACGAAAGCTAAGAGACTTTGATCGTGCAAGAGCTATGGCATGGCTGCACGATGGAGTTGGTGCCCGAAAAGTTACCAGAAGGTTTGCAGCATCTTTTGGGCGTGGCATCGCGATTTTCAATACCCCCCCCCCCC